GGTCAGAAGTTCAGATTGGTATAGCTGAATTATGTCCCACAAGGGGAAAATCAAGATGTTGGCCAGGTTGGGCTGGTATCTGAAGGTATATGGGGAAGAATCTGTTTCTAAGTGCATGCAGGTTGTTAGCTAAATTCTGTTCCTTATGGCTGTTAGGACTGTGGTCCTCATTTCCTGGCTGCCTCAGCCAGAAGATACTCTCAGATCCTGGAGTGCCACTACAGTTCTTTGCCATGAGATTTCTCCATTTCAATAATAGAAAATATCCCGTGTGTTGAATCTGTCCAATCTCTGATTTCCTTTTGCCAACCAGCTAGAGAAAACTTTGCTTTAAAGAAAAGGTTTGTGTGAAAAGATTAAGCTCACTCAGATAATTGCCCTTTGGCCATTATAATAAAATATAAGCAGAGAAGAAATATTTTATTACATTCACAGGTTGCAGGGGATTACAGAAGAAAGAGGGGTCCTTTGAGATCATTCATTCTTATGATTTCAACTACTGCAACTGTTGTTAATTTTCTTAGTTGCAATTCCCTGCCTTTTCTAATACCTAGTAATACTTTTGTGTGTTTTTGTCAGACATTGTGTATTTTAAAAATATAGAGGTGGTCTGGGGTGTAGCTCAGTAGCAAATTTTTTTCCTGGCATGTGTGAGGTCTTGGTTTCCACCAGGCGACCAGCACGTTGGTTTCATTAAAGAGGTTCACGGCATAGAAGTTAACTAGTGAGATCAAAATAAAACACACAGACTCAATTACCTTTTTCAGGTCCAAGACGGGTCTTACCTCGAACCACCCCGTAGGGCAGCAAGGCTTACTCAGGGCTAGCAGGAGAGAGAGAGAGAGCACGCCAGGGAGTGGCCTTTTATTGGGGAACAAGAAATTCAGGGGAAAATTCCATCCAATGAAGGTGGGGGGGCAGCATTCCAAGGTCAGGGTCAGTGATTGGCATCAGGGTCAGTGGTCAGTCACACCCCCACACGGACAGGCTCGCACCTGGAGAGGGTGGGGAAAGCTCCCACACAGTTTGGCCAGAGCGCCTCACACCCAATCCGGGAGGTGCCCAATCACATGCAAGGATGGCTTCCCACATTGGTTTCCATTCCCAATACTGAAAATAAAACAGAGGCTGGCTGCATTTGGTTTTGTTTGCCTTTTTCCTCTGTAAGAGGTAGAGTTAGAACTGATCACTATAATCCAATGAGGGCTGATTTGAAGTATTAAGACAACTCAGGGGCCGGGGTTGTGGCTCAGTGGTAGAGCACTTGCCTAGCATGCATGAGGCACTGGGTTCGTATTCCTGGCACCACATAAAAATAAAAACAAATAAAATAAAGGTATTGTGTCCATCTATATATATATATATAT